CTCACTCCCTCTTCCTTCCTCTCTCAGAAATCAATAAAAACATATTTAAAAAAAAAAAAAAAAAAAAAGGCTTATAAAATTAAGTTTTTCCATACCTTTAACATTCCAGAGCATGCTTTTAAATACCTAGTAGCAGAGGTACTATGGAGGAAGATGGGGAGAACAGAGTGGTTGTTGAGGGCCAAATTTTGATGCAGTCAGAAGACAAAGGGGACATGAGGACCAGAAGGCACAAATTCCTTGGAAAAGATTGATATTTTCCTAGAAATACAGATTTATGTCCTTCTTAGTGAATGATAACAGTGCTATCTGTATATCAGTTTACAGCAAGGAAAATCAGATTGCTCAGCAAAAGATGGCAAAAGTCACTGCAAAAAATGAGAGAGTGAGAGAGACAGAAAAAGAAAACAACTACTTACTCTTATTTTAGCCAAGAACTAACATGAAAAACGTGTGGCGATTGTGAAAAGAATCTGGTACTGTCAAAGACATGACAAATTGGATTATTTGTAAGTGATGCAGCATGCAGCTCCATTCCTGACATTAACTGCCTTCCAAATCATCACTGTATGAAACATCTGTTTTCTGCAAGATTAGCACAACTCCACAGAAACATGCCTCGCCCAAAGGAAATAAAGAGATGGCAAAAATCGATTCCAAAACTATTTATGGGAAGGAATTCAGAAAACATTTAGTCTGATTCATGAGAAATGTTTCCAGTATCCCTTAACTGGACATCCCTTGGGAAATGTGCATTTTCCTGGTATCAGGAATGGGATGTAGCACTGTATGCCTCTATTTCTAGCCCATTTGTTTGGTAACGATACAATGAAGTCAACATTAAATTAGTTAGATTGCAAAGCATATGCCAAAAGCCAAACATAACCCAGAAATCTATGTCACGTCCATTTACCATGAGTAACAAAACAATCAAAATGTTATAAACAAAACATGTCCAGGGTCCAGCCAGTGACCCAAACATTTCAAGGAATATTTGATACAGCAAAGCACCAAAATGAAATTAATTTAGACAGTCCTTGGATTTTATAATGGAATTTGAACTGGACACAGAGACCAATCTGAGAATGAAAGATACACACAGACTAAAAGTAAAAATATTTCATGCAAATAGAAAGGTGGTTTAAAAAAAAGACAAAGGGTGGCCTTGACTTCAAATGACGATACTGAAATTTATACAGCATAATTTTACCAACTAACATGTCTGTTTATAGGAAACCAGAACTATCAAGTCTGCAAATAATAAGTGCTTTATAAGATCTGAATTGTTTGTCTGGTACTGCACAGAGCAGCCTCAAACTTTGGATTCGTCACCTAAAGCAAGCATGAATGAGTGTGTGTGTGTGTGTGTGTGTGTGTGAGAGAGAGAGAGAGAGAGAGAGAGGGAGAGAGGGAGGGAGGGACGGAGAGAGNCCTTTTAATTCCATACCTCAAAACTTTCTTCTATCCATGTTCTTTGTCACAATTTTTATTTTCACTGAAATCAGGAATATAAATGCCAGTGATAAACGCCACTGGCATATGGTTCTGTTGCAACGTTTAAAGACTTCATTTAACTATCAGGATCACTCAGAGAACAGTTTTCACAGATTAGGAAACTAGTTCTCAGAGAGCTTATGCGACATTTAAATTCCCAGTCAGTAAGTGGCTGATCGAATTTTCTGGAAGCCAGGGTTGTTTCCCTACCGCTCTGGAGACGACAGAGGAGGGAGGGACGGAGGGAGAGAGGGAACTATAACTACAAGCGATGTCTTAGAGAAAGGTTCTTTTGCTTTGTAATTGGGTTTATAAAAGCCTTGTTTAAAGTGGGTTTCAGTGCCTCAGCAATAAACATGTATTTCTAGGTTACTCGCTTTTGTTTCCATCCAAAAATGTTTTTGAAAACAAATCTCTGGTTTAAAATTCATAGTGACAAAATAATACAGAAGTATAGCTTTGTTAACTGACAGATACGCATTATCTCATGAGGCAATATAGGGTGGTGGCTAAGAGTAAAGCAAAAATTGACATGAACCATACACAGTGCTGGTGGGGTCACAGAAACTGGTCCTCTCGTACATGGCTGTCTGACAATACCTTTTAAAATTAAACATGGATAGACCTTGTGACTATTCCTGGAAACCTGTCACATCGAAATAAGTCCCCATACGGCAGGACATGTGTACAGGGATGCGCACTGCAGACCAGTATGCAGTAGCCAAGTGCAAGGAACAAAGGGAGCGCCCGGTGACAGGAACTGGCTAAACGCACTGCAGTCAGCCCACGGCACAGAACACCAGCATTTAAGAGCCACGTGAGTAGACGGAAGGACTTCCAGGAGGTAGTTTGGTCAAAAAAGCAAGATACAAAAACGTATTTATAATATGATTCTATTTTAGTAAAACAATGACAAAATAACCCCACATATGTGTCTATTTGCATGCATATATATGTCAGTGTACAAAAGTAAGTGTGGAGAAAAACACAGCAAGATCTAATTCAAGGATGCACCTGGGATTTCTCCTAGCTCTGGGATATCTAGAGAAGGTACTGCTATGGGCTGACAAGGGAGGAAAAGGGAATGCAGGGGCACAAACTCAAAAGTAAAAGAAAAAGGTTAAAGCATATGCGTCACTACACTTATCGTCATAAAAATTATGCATAAGAGTAGGGATATGTTTAAGTGAATTAATTAAATGTTTTTCTATATTTAGAGCATCATCCCGATACACTAAGGTTGCGGGTTCAATCCCTAGTCAGGGCACATACAAGAATCAACCAATTAAGGCATAAATAAGGGGAACAATAAATCTGTCTCTCTATCTCTCCCCTCCTCTCTTTCTAAAATTAATATATAAAATAAATTTTAAAAGACAAAGAAGAAAATAATGGGTCTGAGACTGATGCCTAATGACCTTGTGTGTAACCATATTTAAAAATAAAATTGGCCTTAAATGCTTGGGAGCTTTCTAATTATTCTTTGTATTTAAATGTCAACCTAAAGGTAAGTCTTTCATGGCAATGCCTTTATCAAGAGATGCACGTATCTCAGTCAAGGATTCGCTTGTTCATAAGTAATAAGGTTGGAATTTGCCTCCAGGAACACTGCAAGTCAGTAGTGGCCAGGAAGTCAGGACATGTGAGTCCTGCCTTGTCTTGCCTTTACATGGTCCTGACACTTGGCTAATTATTGGGCCTTAGCGTTCATACCTGTAAAATGACGGGGGTGGCCCAGAGGGTCCTGCCCTAACATTCTATGATTTATGTAACTTGAAAGGCCCCATCAATATTGGCTAGTTTAAACATAATTTAGCATAAACAAAATTCATAGAACTTTGGGCTGAGGCTCAGAATCAAGAACATTCCAGAAAAATTACCCCCCTTTTTTTCCTAAAATGATCACTAAACCCCAGAACCCATCATACCTTTAGGAATAGGCTGGGAATGCTTTGCTCCTTGGTCCAATTTGAAATCCAAATATAAGGTTGGTGTGCGAGTGTAAATCTTGGACTGAAAAGAAAGGAGAAACCATCAGCATCTTTCCAAGAATAAGATTCTTCTTTACTTCAGAATGGGCTGGGGCCTGAATCCATTATATGTACAATTCCTCCTTTGGAAGGCACTGTTAAAGCAGGGTGGGGGTAGGGGGCTGGATGGTTTGCCAGTGCAGCCCCCTCTTAAGGGTCTTGGTCTAAGAGTTAGCCTTCCTAGCTTTACAATATGGTTGACAAGCTATTTCAGGATGACAGCTATCTCCCAACAGCCATTTCTCAAATATGGTCCGATGTTAATGGCTTACTGGGCAATAGTTAATCTAAATTTCTCACTTCCAGTCTTCCACTTGATATGGTAAGTTATCTCTCATCCAAATGTATGCTTCTTCCCAGGTCTCAATAAAGCTAAGTGAGTAATTGGATGGGGTTCAAAAGGGGGCTTTTGGGGCCTGACAATGTTCTGTTTCTTTTCTTTTTTTTACTTTTTCATAAAATTTATTTTTATGAAGTTGCAACTTAAATACAGTGAAATGCACAAATCTGAAATATACAGTTTTTTGCTACATTTTGTTTTTTTGCCTATATACCCATATCAAGCCATAAAAAACCATCACACCAGAAGGCTTCCACATGTCCCTTTGGAGTACCCTCAAAATTAATTTTTCCAATAAAAAATATTTACAACTTTTGAAAGATATAATTGATAGACAATAAATGGTGTATGATTTGATACATTTTGACATATATAAATCTGTGAAAACATCAGTCAAGATAATAAGTATATCTACCACTCTCAAAAGTTTTCTCATGCCTCTTTGTAATCCCTCCATCGCATGCTTCCTTACTCTCTAATCTCCAAGTAACCATTGATGTACTTTACTCAATTTTATATAAATGGAATCATATACATGTAATTTTTTATCTTGCTTAATTTATTCAATAATTATGTTCTGTGTCTTGACCTGGCTTCTGATTTCATGGCAATGTTCACTTGATGAAAATGCTCTGAGCTATACACTTGACTTATATACTGTTTGTATATGTGTTATATTTTAATAAAGTTTACAGTTATTAAAAATATGAATGTGTGAGTAGATCAAATGAGAGAATCCAGAGCTCAGAATTATTTTTTCCTTGATAAAGGCATCATTTTGCAGAGAATAATTATGTAAACTCCACAAAACACATGGACATTTCAGCCTTTTTCACCCAGGGCCAACCCACTGTGCCTGTCACATAGTAGGTGCTCAATAAATATTTATTGAATGATGTTTCCTAATGGAAAAGCTCATGTATAATAAATTTATTTATAATATACACAGGATATTCATCAATATCTTTACCTACATGTAGCAGAATGCCTCTTTTTCAGGAAGGGTGATTTAGTATGGTCAAAGTGTACATCTGTGCATTAAATTTTGGAATAGACAATTATAAACAATGCTATCAGAAGACTGTTCCCTTTCCTATGAATGTTTCATGTACTGAAGAATTGGGCTTTAAGTGGTCTGGTAGGTGGTTTTACATGGCTTAGAAGGTCAAGATGCATCAATATAGCTTCAAAGACAGGGAAAGCAAATCCCCTTGTGCACACATAAATGAAACCAGAAAGACCTGTGACATCAAATGCAGCCTGAGGCCAAAGACTGACAATCAATCTGAAGAGGTTGAAACATACATAACACAAGGGCAGCACCAGCAAGACACAGGAGCTGATTCTCTAGAATTATTAGGTGTGTAAGACACCATATGGAAAGAATCTGGTTTTGTCTAATGAAGACTTCCAAAATTACCTTTAAAAAGATCAAGGGTAAATGTCACATAATATCAGATGACTCCTCTATATGGGCAATGTTTTGTTTTTTTCCAGAAAAAGAACCCCTGTTTGCTTTAACCGTCTTTCCTAACCTCTGCCTCAGGGGCAGATGCAGCATCCCTGCCAACAGCAAAGAGATTAATCACAAAGAGGTTCTTAGTTTAATTTTTACTAATATTCTCCCAGAATGCAGTCATAAAAATAATCTCCAACTGGAAACCAGGAGTCTTTGATGCTAGGATTGCTTTCCTGCTGACTAGCAAAACACCTTTCTTCTTCTGGGCCTAGTTTGCTCATCTGAAAATCTTTTCTTGAAACTCCCTGATGCTGAAGTCTATTTCTGATTCTGAAATTCTGAATCAGAAAATTAATGTTTTCCTCCATGTTTTCATTTTTAAAATTCCCTTCTGATTTCTCAGACAAGAGCTATAGAAAAGTGAGATGTGGCTGCGATGAGGAGAGCAATGAGGCCTATGGGGAGAGAATGGGGAGCCGCTGATCAATTCACTCTATTCTTGCCTTCAAACTCATTCACCAATCTTGCCCTCTGGGCTAGCTTTTATTTTTCTTCCTGTCTCTAACTTTTCAACCTAATTCATGTTGTCCAAAAAATAGTAACTTATATCTCTAAGACTGCAACTACATAGATACATGTGTGTGCGCGCACAAAACACACACAGAATTCTGTACTTAATATATTCATTTATAAAACTTTAAACAGAAACCAATCAGGGACATCACAACATTATAAAGCCACAAATATACCCTATTGTCTTTTGGCATGAAAAGGGTTAAAGGGAAATTTTTAATTCATTTTGAAGGTATTTTTCACCACATCATTAACCTAAAATAGAATTCTGATTCTAATCTCCTTTTTATATTGAAAATCAGATCACTGAAGGTTTCAATACAGCACACGTCTTGAATAATCAACTACCCCAAACCTAAACATACATTATTCTATTTCAATTAATCCATAATAAAATAAACCTCATTTTGGAA